GTTTCCGCCAGTTCCGCTACCGAGACGCAGCGGGCCCGCGAGAGGCGTTTCGGCAGCTGCGGGAGCTCTCACGCCAGTGGCTGCGACCCGACATCCGCACGAAGGAGCAGATCGTGGAGATGCTGGTGCAAGAGCAGCTGCTCGCCATCATGCCCGAGGCGGCGCGGGCCAGGCGGCTTCACCGCCGCACCGATGTTCGCATCACCGGCTGAGCGGCGGGCGGCCTGGTCCCGGCGCTCTCTGGACTGGAGCCTCGCTCCCCACTCCACCTTAATGAAAACGAGCTTTGGCAGCTCTTGTAGTCTGATGTAGCCCTTTTCGTTCTTTACTGGGTTTATTTTCCCGAGCGTATTTCCAACCTTCTTTCTGGTTAGTGGGAGCCCATGAGAATAAAGCCTTTGTTTCCTATTCATTTGGCCTACGTTGGGTTTTGTTGGATCCTTACGTGTTGGCTAGGCCTAGGCATTCGCCACATCTGGGAAATTTTTCTCTTGCACGCTTCCCAGGACCCTACTTGGATGTCCTTTGTTTTGCTGGAGTCTGTAATTAGGGTTCCATATTCGCCCCCTCTCACTAGCTAGAATGTAAGCTTGTTTTCCTACCTGAGAAAATAGTGACACATCTTGCCATATGTATTTGTGACATCAGGCAGGCAAATAACTGGCTCTATTAAATGATTGTTTACCTGACTACCTCTAAACCAGCACTGCCACTAGTAGCCTGCCCTTTGGGCACAGATTCCCAAAAGGCCCAAACCATTGGGCTGTTTTAATAGGTTTCAGAGCAGTTCCTTAGAGAGATAGACTAGTTCTTGCTAGCTCTGGGTTCACCGTCTTTGCCAAATTTTAGGCTTCTAGAAGGATTGAAGCAGAACTAGTGTGAACTAATTGATTATATTGCTAGAGCTAGGCATTTTTTTAAATGTATTGATTTTGTTGTTCCACTTATTTATGGATTCATTGGTTGATTCTTCTATGTGCCCGGACCAGGGAATCGAACATGCAACCTTGGCTTATCAGGCAGATGGCTCTAACCAACTGAGCTGCCCGGCCAGGAGAGCTACCCATTTAAATTTCTCTCCAACCACTTCCATTTATTTTTTAAATAAGCATAATTGTTTAGAAAGGTAGGAAGGAGCCGTGACCAGTGTCCAATTAGAGCATTTTGCTTGCAGAAGGCAATGTGTCTCTCACATCAATGTTTCTCCCCCTTTCACTCTGAAAAGCAATGGGAAAAAATCCTCAGGTGAGGATTAAGAAAAAAATAAAGGGAAGAAGGAATATGGAAATAGGGAAGCTCTACTATGAAATCTAAAACCTACTCTGTTCCTTGAGTCTTCAGCCCAACCAGGAAGGAGCTAATTGGGGTCCACAGGCAGTTTGGATTTGTCTCAAAAGCACCCTAAATGCATCGGGGTGCCATCTCATCAAGAAGACCAAACCTGTCTTCCCTGCACTGCTTTCAATAATCAAAATCTAATAAGCCTGCAGTTCACAACAAATGAGCTAAAATGGGCTAGAACAGTGGTTCTCAACCTTGGCTGCACATTAGAATCACCTGGGAATCTTTTAAAAATCCTGATTTCTGGGCCTCATCCTCCGGAAATTGTTTCTTTGTTACTAATGTTGTGGCCCCACCCCATAACAAAGAAACAGAATTTTCAGAGGATGAGGCCCAGAAATCAGGATTTTAAAAAGATTCCCAGGTGATTCTAACGTGCAGCCAAGGATGAGAACCACTGGGGTAGAGGCTGGTGTGGGACATTTTACTTTTGAATATTACACACTTAAATTAATTCAAAAGTATTTTGCATACTTTCTTGGGATTTAGGGTCTTGAGCTTATATCCATCTGCCTCCTTGCAGAAAAATCTGTTTAGAATGTAAAAGCAGACTTCCTTTAAAAGATTATAGAAAGTTAAATAATGCATATTAGAATAGAGAATTTTATAACTCAATAACTTGACAAACATAGCAACAAAAACCTGTTTTATTTTTTCCAAATACAGATACAGAAGTTTGCATGTTTTGCAAATATTGCTTCAAAGCAACATTTCTATATACAGCGCCTTCTGTTCTAATAGCGCGTAAACATAATGTATCCACAGTGCAACGTTGGCTCATCAAGGGTCCACCTTGCATATACTCTATCACTTGAAACAAAATGATTACTCAAACCAGAACTGTTTGTCAAGGCAATTTTTTAGAAGGTGGATAGTTTTACTCAAAAGAAAACTTAGGTAGTGTACATATTTCTAAATGGTAACAGTAATATTTGCAAATAACTGTTTCCAGTGCTCCAACTTGGGGTTTATTCAGATTGACCCAGGAATGAGGATGGAGCCCCTTAACATGGCTTTAAATTAGGGAAGCACACTGAGGTTACCAGAACTTGGAATCATCCCTGCTTCCCTATAGACAAAAGTCACAATGAATGAAATGGGACTTTTTTTCTTTGCAGAACTTAAACGATAAGCCCAACTAACGGACAAAATTAGGGTAGTTTAATTCCATCTTTGAAAAAGACATGAAATTGTCAAAGTTACAGCTCCCTCAAATGTGACACTCAAATTTATTTTAAGGGGGAAAATATCAGTAATCTAATAATACAAGTCGTCATACCTCACAGTTGTGGCTACAGAAAACCATCGTGTTTCTTCCCTTTTCAGACAAGCATCACACAGTTCTTATGAGGCTGTCTGATAAATTATGCAAAACATAGATGCCATGCACACTCCTAGAGGGTTTCTTCCTATACCAGAAACGCCAACCTTAGCAACGGGAAACAGCCTCTTTGTAGAGGAATTGTGTCAGCTTTATTACAGATGTCATAGCTACATGTATTCCCTCTGATGGAAAAGCTACAGCAGGTCAACTTGTCCTAAATTCATTTTATATCACATGGTGAACAAATCGCTGGACAGCATTCCCTGAAATAGATCTTGGTACAGAGGCCTTCATGACCACAATGACCTGTGCCTAAAGCCTAACCATCCACAAATCGCTGGAGATACTGTCATTGCTATTGAGATATTGGCTACTTCACGTTTACATAGTAAATATTTGCAGCATATAACATTACAGATTCATAAACCCATAATTAACTTGTGAGTGTTAATGGACAACTGTGCTTTGCTTTTTTTTTTTTAGTGATTAAGAAAACAAAACAGTGAAACAGGTCACTCCTCAAAACATGGAACATTTTCTTTAACTTTGTCTAGTAAGGAAAAAACAACAATATAGCAATTACATGTAGAACCGTAACCTGTGAGAGTAACAAATATTATCTCAAAAGGTACAAATTGTATCTGGACCATAAGCAGCACAATCACCTTAATTTCACAAAATAATACAAACCGGAAATTTAAAGTGTTAAAGTATATTAAAACAATTTTGAAAATGCCACTATTAAACATACACCCTTCAGGGAAGGAGGAAAGTGGCACATGTAGAATCTAAAGTTTGTTTACAGCAATATAAAATAAGGTAATTCCCCAAACCACATTCTTTGTAACAAATCTTTACAGTGAAAGAGTTCAAAATTTGGGGAAACACTTTTTGGACATTAAATAGAACTGGGAAGCTGTCAATATTAAGAAGTGGGTAGAAAATGCTGTCCTTTGGGTCCCAGACCCTGCCTGTTTCAGTTCGGAATTCCTCCTAGCTTCTTCGAACAGTGAGATTCTAGTTCCTCCACTGGCTGTATGGGCTCTGCTATAAAAGACATAACCCAGCCAACTCTGGGATAAAAGCATACAAAACTTGTCCCCAGTACCATGAAGTCATGCACAAGATGTGATGAAAAAAGTGAAGAGTCCGACAGAGAAGGCAGGGCAGCCAAGGCCTCTGCTCCTTCCCAATCTCCACAGAATGGTGAAGTCACGACATTCCCATGAAGCTGGAAAAATGAAAATGATACCTGCTGCCTATATCCATGCCAGGCAGAAACCACAAGGCTTGTCATGTGCCCCAACCTGACAGAAAAGTCAATTAAATAAGCTGCAAGTTGAATCTACAACAGTTTCCGACGAAACTTTTTTGGCTCTCATTCCATTTATCATCAGTGGCACGATTTCAAGTGAAGTTTGTGCAAAAAGACTCACTTTCCATTCAACGATGTGCACAGAAGGGAATCCCAAGAGTCTGTTTGCTACCTTCTTGGTAGGCTCTGAGATCAGAGTGCCCTGCCCTCCAGCAGCCCAAATGGCCTCTTTGTCCAATGTTCATCACACCCCGTCTGCCCAGATCCCTGAAGTCAGTCGGTGTCACATGCATTCGGCATGCTAGGTTTATTTATTTAAAAAATGCAAAGTTCCTCCTGCAGGCACCCCTGTATTGTGTCCCCATTAGTTCTGGGTGCCCAGTTTCATGTTGAACAGCAGAGCGAGATCTGCTGCACCTTGCCCAAGTCCGTCAGCAGCTGCTTAATGCAATGCTTGAGCTGTGGAAGCCTGGCCAGGGGTTGCGGGGGCTCCAGTTCCCCAGTATAGTCCAGCCAGCTCTCCAACACTGCAGGCAGAAGAGAGAGAGAAAATCCAATGAGTTCCCAACACTTGATGTGTAAGACTGTCAATTTCAGCACCATATCCCATTTGACCACTCATGGGGGGCAGGAAGGGGAGGCCAGTTCAGGCATCAACATTAATTCATCAACCTCCCTACAAAATACTACCCCAGGACAAAACTCAAATGCTTTAGAGCAGTGCAGTCCAATAGAACTTTCTGCAACATGGAAATGGTCTATGTTGTCTGATACAGTAGCCACCAGCCATATGTACCTACTGAGCATTTAAAACATGGCTAGTGCAAATGAGAAACTGAATTTAAATTGTATTTCATTTTACCCTGGATTGGTAGCTCAGTTAGTAGAGTATCGTCCTGATATGCCAAGGTTGCCAATTTGATCCCAGGTCAGGGCACAAACAAGAATCAACCAATGAATGCATAAATAAGTGGAATAACAAATTGATATTTCTCTTCTCCCCCCCCCCCACTAAAGAGGGAGGGAGGGAGGGAGGGAGGGAAGGAGGGAGAGAGAGAGAGAGAGAAACATCAATGATGAGAGAGAATCATTGATCGGCTGCCTCCTGCACGCCCCTTACTAGAGATCGAGCCCCCAACCAGGGCATATGCCCTGACTGGGAATCGAACCATGACCTCCTGGTTCATAGGTCGATACTCAACCACTGAGCCATGCCAGCCAGGCAATAAATAAAATTTGTTAAAAAATAAATTATAGCCCTGGCCAATGTTGATTAGTGGTTAGAGCGCTGGCCCATACACCAAAGGGTTAAGGGTTCAATTCCCAGTCAAGGGCACGTAACTGGGCTGCAGGTTGAATCCCCAGCCTAGTCAGGGATCGGCGGGAGGCAACCAACTGATGTCTCTGTCTCACATCAATGTTTCTCTC